GCGTGTGGATACCAGTAGAGGCACGACATTTGGAGTGCTTGAAATCTCGACTTGGTGTATTCATCTTTCCGCTGCGAATAACCAGGTATATTCGAAACCCTAAAGATCTAGATTTATTTCAGTATTAACATGAGATTCTAGACATATGAATTCATAGGTTGATTTATAAACTGTTATAAATCGGTATGAACAACAACAGTGGTATCAGAGCTTACTTGCATAATATTGATCTGAATCTGGTGTAATAGATATATATGATATATTTGTTAAAATTGATATAGCAATTTGGATAGTTATTATAATTTGATTATAATTAATCGCTGTATAAAATTGACAAATGATTGAAATTGTTTTATCACTTATGCACATATATGATTTTAAAGGGAGCACGTACGTTGTAGTTGTATGATTGCTTTGAATTTAAAATAGTTAGATATGTGCATCTGAGAAGATCGTTCACACTTTTGTTAGCCTCAAACTATAATTTCATAAATATTGATTTAAGAAAGAGTCAAAAGTTCATAGTTGTATATGATACGGTTTCTATGGCAGCTTGACAGTTTGTGTATATTTAATTTGTTAAATAACTACACATACGTTTGAGAATTGTTGATTAAGATAATTGAAATCATATTCGATATATAGATATATGACTTTGGAATTTGGTTCATGCATATTTAATTAATAAGATTATCGTGTATTATTGTAATACATAAATTGATTCAATAATTAATTTGCATGTGTGACCAATTAAACCGTCAAACCAGTTTTGGTTTATTTGGTTAATATGATTAACTAGGTTTAGTTATATTTTTTTTTAGAACTAATACGATCAGCTTCTGAAATTAATTATATATATTAATTAATAATTTTAATTAGATTAAAATTAATTTAATTGTTTATAATTCAATTAAGATACATATAAGATATGTATTAGTTATATTTATATTTTATATTAGATATAAATTTTAAATATAAATTAAAATTGAATTAAAATTTGTTCCTCAATTA